AGGCGATTTTCCCGCGGTGTACTTTGGAGTGTGGGGGGGTCCTCTGAGGGTTTCTTGGGGTTTGTTGGTTTCCGATGCTGGCCAGAGTCGTCGGGTCGGCGGCCACGGGCCGCTCTTGCCTCGCGTCAACTGTTGTCCTCTGGCGCGAGCCTTTGGCCGTCTTGGGGCTAGCGTCACGGCCGAGAAAGTATGGATGTCTGGCCTGGAGGGCTGCCATGGATCTTTCCAAGTGCCATTCGGAGGGTCGACACTTATGCGTATCACGTGCAGGTGCTTGCATCAAGTCCGCCACAGTGCCAGGAAAGCTTTGCGACCCTTCCGGAAGGCCGTCACATGTGACGCTTCTTGCCCCCACTTGCTGAGGAGCTTCATGGGGACTCTTTGGGCCGCCTTGGGTTCCCGTGGGACAGTCTTGGGGGTCCCTGGGAACTCTCTTCAGTCGCCTTCGGGCCTCGTGGGTCGTCTGGTGGCCCTCTTGGGACGCCTCGTGGCCATTTTGGCCGTCCAGGGGGGTGTCTTTGGGGCCGTCTTGGGGTCTTCTTAGGCCGTCTTGGGTTCCTCCATGGGGCCTTCTTGGGCGAGCTTGTGGCTGTTTTGCGGCCGTCGTGGGGCCGTCTAGTGGCCCGCTTGAGCTCTTAGTGGGTTTTCGAAGATCGCAAGTGTGGCGGTAATCGACCGAAGAGCGTGGAAAACAATAGTCAATGATGACGCCGCCAACGTCGGAACGATGCTGATACCAGCGATGGTGGTGGCAGCGATGACAATGACGGCGGCAAGGCCAATGATTGTGCCAATTTTGGTGTCCACAATCACGGTGGTGGTGATGTTGGTAATGATGTCTACGTGTCGGTGATGACAGTGACTGCGATGATGATGGTAGCAATGGCGGCGATTGACGATGACGATCACGGCGGTGATGCGATGGCGTTGATGAGGGTGATGGCGAAGTGCGAGCGTGCAACAACTCATCCTGTCTCACATACCTCGAACCATTGTGTGTTCATAGGCCTTGAGCTGTTTCGAGAACCACTGGTCTTGGAAGGATTTCGGCGCGCGCGTGGCGGCGAGCGCACGTGGCCCGCATGGTGTCGTTCGATACGGGTTCGTGCACTGGGCGCGTGCGCGGTCAGCGCGACTGGACCGCGCGTGGGGGCCCCAAGAATATACATCACCACCGCGTCGACTCCTCCTCCCTCCTCTACCCTCCTCTTTCTCTCCTCTTTCCTGGGAGAGGGAAGGGGTGAGGGAGATGGTGGTGGTGTATATCTTTGGGCCCCCCAATGCGAGTGCGGGTTCTGGAAACATCCGATGGCCTCCTCATGAGTTCAGCAAGCGCGCGCGTGCAGAGACCTGGACGATCTTCGTGGAACAGCAAATATGATGGTGAAGTGCTTGCAGTACTATTCAGTTTGGTCTAATTTCGACAGTGCGCGCTCGTGAGGACGTTGCGATATTGTTTGCATGATGCTTTGGAAGCGTGTTGCGACAAACGGGTGTGCGCGCATTGTACTATTTGGCAGGGGCGACGGGGGGGAGGTCGGGACCAGTTTGGTTGGGCTGGTTGGGGTTCATGTGGAACATGAGCGATGAGGCAGCATCATGTGCAACTTGTACTACGTACCCCGGGGGATGTGGATAAATCCGGGCTCGGGAGGGCGGTCGAGTGCAGTCCTCTTTTGAACGGAGAATCTACAACTGATGATGCAACTTTCGAAGCCGTTATTTCCAGTTCTCGCCGTTAGTTTAAATGTTGAGTAACGCCACACGCCCCCTCGCAACGTGTTTGCACACTTCGAGTGGCGTTTTGATGCGAGGACCCTTCTCGTGCAAATCCATGATTCGGGCGACCGGTTCCTGATGATGATGCTGATGCTGATGTGGATGTTGATGTTGCTGTTGTTGATGATGATGACGATGATGATGATGATGATGTTGATGCTGCTGATAATGATGATGCTGATGATGATGCTGATAGTGATGATGCTGCTGATGATGATGCTGGCGACGATGGTGGCGCTGACGACGACGACGACGACGACGATGACGACGACGATGGCTATGACGCTGGTGATGACGGCAGTCGGGGTGATGACGACGATGTTGATAGTGATGAAGGTCCCGGTTATGACGGTGACAACGATGACGCTGGCGATAATGATAACGGTGGTGTTGGTGCGGATGGTAAGGACGCGCGCGCAGAAATGCATGTACCATGTCATATTTTTTTCTGGGCAACAAATGGGGTTTCAGATGCGTCTGAACACTTGTGTCTTGAAACGCTTCGGAGGCAAATAGTTCTTTACTGATTTCGACGTCCGTTTCGAGCAGGTGGAGTCCCCCCCCCCCCATAGTGGACACACTGTTGCAAACAGCCGCGGTAAGCAGAGGTCCAGAGCCAGACTCCCCCCTCCTCCCCCCTTTCTGCCCAATGTCGAGACGCCGAACAAAAAACGCTCACAAAGGGGTCGGCGTCTTTGGGCAGCCTCCGTGTGGAGGATTCTTGGCCTTGGGGATGCACGGTTGCCGTACTTTGCATGGAGTGGTGTGGCCTCTGGAGCGCGAGCGCATTTTGTCATTTGCAAGGGGCTGTGGCTGCCGGAAGCGCGAGCATTTGCAGTGATCAGTGATTCACAAGGCTCGGCATCGCTCGGACGTGGCTGCATTTATCAGGGGAACCAGCAATGACATAAACATACAAACTCGGAGGTCCGCGCGGATTCCTCGGATCGGCGTTGGACCCCCCTCCTTGGCGCGCGGAGCGCGCCAGAGGCGGCGCCGGAGGCGCCGCCAGGGGGCTCCAGCGCCGATCCGAGAAATCCGCGCGGACCTCCTAGTTTTTATGGCTATGTCATTGTTTGTTCCCCTATTTGTTCCTTTTCGAGGTCGAGGAGCATCGAGGATCATCTCGTGAGGAAGTAAACACACGAAGCCGGCAGTTTCACAATGGAAAGGACGTCCGAGCGATGGCAAGAAGGATTTGTGGCCTCGAGAGCACCGCGTTTCCGCGTTGCCTCAGGGTCGCTAACTTGTAGTATTTAACATCGAGTTTTGGCTTCCATCATGGAACGTCGGAAGACCTAAAAGCCGAGAGCACGACAATCTTTCAACCACGTAATTGTACTCTATAATTTTCGCCTCTTGGGGCCCTATGGTCGTCTTTGGGCACTGTATGACCCGAAAAGTGATGCGCGAAGACGCCTCGGGCGCAACGGGAGCTGCAGGATTTTTTCAGAATTTGAGGCTCAGGGGATTGGGCAAGGAACCTGAGGACACTCCAACGCGTGCCACGCAGGAACAGTGGCGGAGGTGGTGGTGTTACCTGTGCGGCGCAAGCTGACGAACGAGCAACACTGTCTCATACCCTTATCGGGGGACGGAGAAGGCTGTGGGCGCGTGTTGTCGGGTGGGGATCCCCGCTCGAACGGGAGGTTCCCCAAGGTTCCGACAACCCCAGAGGCAGTCCTCCTCCATGCGTCCCCCCCATGGGTACGGGTGTATGTCTCAAGAGGGAAAATACACACAGACACAAGGAATCTTCAATTCCCCAGGAAATATGGGAAGATCTGGGAAGTGGGCGGGAAGACAAAACCCCTGAACATATAGAAAATACGGGGGTCTTGTTATTTGTGTCTATTTAGTTATTTGTGTGTCCCAGCTTCGTTCGTCCGTCGAGTTATGTGAGCATCTTGAGGAGCGAGCCGAGGCATGAAACGCCCATCGAAGCGCCCACGGGCGCCCGCCAGCCGTAGACGCAGAGCCGCCAGCCAGCGCACGGAGTGTCCACAAGGCGCTCACCGGCGCCCACCCGACGAACAGTTGGAATCGCAGGTCAGGCATTCAGGACATAAGGAAGATCTCGTATAGTACAACCACTGTTCGGAGAACGGTGTTCTAAGACTTGCACGCATTTTGGCCTAGATGCGCTGGGCGGCCCTGACTACTGCTTCGCGACGAGCAACAGACGGACGTCCTTCGGCCCAACATACCAGCCGCAGCAACTCAATTGTGTCATCTTCAATGTTTATCACAGCTGACGCGTCATTGATACAGGATGGTTTTGATTCCTACCGCGGCATTATTACCAGGATTCCCCCACTGAGGTTCGTAGTGCTGCTGATTTGTCTGGTGCTGCTGGCCCTCATACGTTGCCTCCCCCCGCCGTCTTTTTGTTCTCGCCTCATTGCGACCGCAGTGGTGCTGACAGCGACGGCAGTAGTTGGACGGGGCTAGGACGAGGACGAATGCGTTCCAGAGAGTTCGCAACGCTCTCACAGTGATTGCCCATCTTCCACCATAACTCCCATAGGTAGAAGAGAGGGGAGGAGGAGGAGGAGGAGGAGGAGGAGGAGGAGGAGGAGGAGGAGGAAAAGGAGGGGGAGGGGGAGGAGGAGGAGGAGGAGGAGGAGGAGGAGGAGGAGGAGGAGGAGGAGGAGGAGGAGAAGGAGGAGGACTTCCTCATCCTCCCTTTCCCCCCGTCCTACATATGGTAGTGGTGGCGGAAAACCTGCCGTTTCACAGAGCGCTCCGGAACGCCCTGGGCAGGCCGCGGCGCCCGAGTTGTGCATCAGTGCCGCTGGATCTCAGAGATTCTCGGTTTGTCCGTACCAGATCTTATCCTCGTCTCAGCTTTTGTCTTAGGGGAGGAGGAGGTGGATGAGGAGGAGGAGGGTTTGTCCTCGCCCGATGTTGTCCTCGTTCTGGCTTTGCCTTCGCGCGCGAAGACAGTGGCCCCAGATTTCTCCGTACCCGACCTTGGCCTCGCCTCAGCTTCATTCTGAGTGGCTACAGTCGATCCGCACAGTAAGGATGAGCGACTTTCTCAAGGGTATTCTCGCATCCTTACCTCCTCGGCCCATCCTTGGCCACTTTCGTTGGCCGCGCCCCGCTCGAAAAGCTTCGAAGTGGGCGTCCAAGGCCCTTGCATCCGCATCGCGCATCCTTCTGATTCGGGCCGACTGTACGTGCCACCCCGCGCAGATGCTGGTCCAAGCGGAGGGCAGCTACAACACGTTCTTGGAGCGCATCCCTGCCGCTGCCGCCGCCCTGCTGTCGTACCTTGGTCGTGCCGTTGCCACCTCTCGTGCTCGTGTTCGTGCTGCTGCACGCTCCGCTGTTGCTGCAGTTGCCTTCAGCGCAGTTTTTGCAGCCAGTGGTACAGTCGGGCCGAGGTACAAGATCGAGGTCGGCTCGGGGAGGGTATCCTGATTTTCTTCTTGCTTGCTGGATGTTCTTGTGCATCCTGAGGGTACCCCTGGATGTTCTGTGTGTGTGTGTTGACCGGCGGAGGGTCTCATGTTCTCGAAGGATATGATTCTGTCCCAGGCCCGACTGTATTGCCAAGTTGCTAGTGCCAGTGCGCGTGTCAGTGCTAGCTCTGGTGCATGGCCTAGGCTGGCTTGCACTGCCGGTCTTCAGCTGGTCACCAGTCGTGCTGTCGCCGCCCGGTGCGCAGGGACAAGAGCGTGACGACATGAGATACAGGGTCTCGTTCCTTGCAGTTTGCAATCGGCGCATTCCTTTCCGTGGTGGGCTGTTTCGGCGTCTATGCACCGTCCATTCCTCCCTCCTGTTCCTCCTCAATCCTCCTGCCCCTCCAACCGTATTACCCCCCCTCCTCCACCTGCTGTCCTGCTCCCTCGTCCTGCTCTTCCTTATTTTGGGTCCCGAACGCTCTTAGTGTCCTCTCCTTTGTCGCCTGATCGCCCTTTCGCCACTCAAGGAGGAGGGAAGGAGGAGGGAGGAGCGATGATGTAGAACGGAGTGAGGGCGAAGCGACGTGATGTAGTCATGGGAGTGGTTCGGCGGAGGCCGTTTGTAGTTCGAGCTCAACGGTCAGAGTTGTTTCCGTTTGCATTTCAAGGGGCCTTAGTCGAGTAGCTTAGTATTCGAGCATTCTTCACTTATACATGTTCGAGTCCACACTGGTTCGCTCTTTTGCTTTGAGGAAAGTCTCCTCGTCGACGAGCACGTTCTCTACGTCGTATCTTTGGAATCACAGTGCGAAGGCGAACGAGGACGATCGTACACTCAACCTCGCGTCCAGAGCGTTGGCCACACAATGGCAGCTGCGTGGATGGCTGTCTTGTCCGAGGAGCCTAATGAATTCTGGAGCAGGGCCACGTGGACGAGGGGCCATGGGGCTCAAGGGGAAAAGGAGGGGAGGAGGAGGAGGAGGTTGAGGAGGAGGAGGAGGAGGAGGAGGAGGAGGAGAAGAAGGAGGATGAGGATGACGAGGACGAGGAAGGCGAGGAGGACGAGGAGAACCTGTGGGCGGTGCCTGTGTACTCCCAGCGAGGGCAACATGGAGAAGGAGCAGGACGAGGCCGCACTGAAGCTCATGAAGAAGATGGGCGCCAAGATCGCGGAGGGCATGTGACCGCCGCGTCCGCAGACGTCGCGTCGGTGTCCCACCTCGAATCGGAACCCATTCTGCCTCCTCCCCCTCCGCCATCTTCCCATTCTTTCTCCATTGTCCTCGCTCTCCTCGTCCGCCCCCTGCTACCCCTCCCTCCTTCACCCGTTCCTCTTTCTCCGTCCCTCCCCCGTCCCTCCTCCATCCCTTCGCCCTTCCACCTTCCTGAGGAAGCGAGAGGGGGCGAGGGAGGCGCGGGGGAGGAGCGAGGGAGGAGCAGGAGGGAGCGAGGGAGCGAGGGAGGATGGAGGCAGGCCCCCTCCATCCTTCCTCCTCCTTCGCTCCCTCCTGCTCCTCCCCCCTTGCCCCGCCCCCGCCAGAGCGGCCCGAGAGGCGCAGGCGGTGAGGCGACGACGCCACGCGCGCTTCTGGCGGTGCCAGCCGCGGCAGCGCGGCAGGGCGCTCCCGGGCCCGCCCGGGGCACGGGCGACGAGCGACGG